CACCACGGAGATGTTCCCGGCCCGGTTATGCCAGTGTCAGCCAGGTGATCATCAACCCATTGAAGGCTCGGTGACAGTTTGGGATGATGAGAAAGGAAAGATGACTGCAGTGAAGAGGTCTACACTGGCTGCTCAATGGCCGGAGGGGTTCTGTGATTGGTTGCTGGATGGTTTGGAGGCCTTGAAGGAGGAAAACTCACACGTGAGGATTGAGTTACATCAACCGACACCGGACACCAGGATTTGGGAAGCAGTTCCAGTGGAGATTGAACCGACTGCTGAAGGGCAACTTCGACAGCAGATGGCGGCGGTGGATGGACTGCACCGCTACGACTACATCTCCTTCCTTGGGGCGTCAAGTGGTCTTGGCAAGAAGGTGCGTTCAACTTTGGCACACCTACATGTTGCACTGGGGCACATCAGCAACGACAAGTTGGCACGGATGATGTCACAAAATGGTGCCAAAACTGTGGTCCTTCAAGCAATAAAGGACATGGAGTGTCAAATATGTCGGCAAGTGACAGCACCTCATACTACCCCGAAATCTGCCTATGCTCGTCCGATGAGCTTCAATGTCCGGGTTTGTTCAGATACCTTCTATGTTTGGGATGCCAAGGCGACCAAGTTTGCAGTGACGCACCTGGTGGACGCCTTTTCTCTGTACCAGATGGCGATTGTTTCAGTGGATGCCTCGGCGCAATCCACGGTGTCGCTTTTGAGAGATGGTTGGATCAGAGCCTTTGGTGACTTTGGTGCGCCGAATGTCCTCATGACGGATCAAGGTCCTGAATTCCAAGGTGTAGTCGAGGGCATCCTTCGAACATTCAGTGTGTACCATGACATGGGGCCGTCTTGAAGTTGATGGTGATGAAGATCATCAAGGAGAAGACGGTGATTGGCTTGGAGGAGGTGCAAACGGCCGTGGCGGCTGCAGTGGCTGCGCGAAATTTGCAGTCCAGGGTGTCAGGCTTCTCACCCATCCAGCTGATCTTTGGCCGTGAGATGAGTCTTCCTGGAAACCTGATGGAGGCCATCGCCGGACAGTTCAAGTTCCAGATCTCCAATCCGCAGACCATGGAGGAGGCTATTCATCGAGCAAGCTCCATTCGCCGGGCAGCTACGGAGGCATTCCAATGGTTGGAGGCAAGCGATGCTCTGAAACGTGCTGCCGGTTCCAGGGCAAGATTGCCAAGGTTGGAATTGTTGGTGGAGGGCTCCATGGTGATGTTCTATGAGCCACCGGTGAGTCGCCGCGGATTGGCGCGAAGACTTCAAGACCACATTTCGTGGATTGGTCCGGCAGTCGTCGTAGCAGTTGAAAGGTCCGACGGAGCTGTGAAGCGAGTGTGGATTCGCTACAGACACAAACTACGCGGTCTACCTCTTGAGCATATCCGGCTCGCCACGGGAGACGAGGTCGAGTCCACCAAGGTGACGAAGGAAGCTTTGCAAGATCTGATGAAGCAGCTCCAGTCGGGCAGGGTCAATGTGGAGATTGCAGAGGAGGGACAACCACGTGAGGTTGCCAATGCACCAGCACCTCCTGACCCGCGATATCCTCCGATGGAGTTCATCGAGCGACGGTGGCATCATCTTCAGCGGTGGATCCTGCTTTGGCATCGGTGAGACAGAAGCGTGACTTCTATGAGACGGCATTCAAGTCGACACAGGAGCACCTGAAGAAGATGAAGACCAAGCTTGAGAAAAAGGAGACCTGAAGGGGGTGAATCTGAAGTTCCGAATAGTGCTGATCCCATGTACAGCCCCTACTCCGACGACACGAATATGACGGCACCATCAGTTGACTCACCGTTCATTGAAGTCGACCTCTTTGCGGTGCCGAGTGTCTATGATGATCAGGGCAATCCCCATGAAGTCACACACGACATGTATGTCGTTGACATGCTCCGAGAGTGCCATCCCATCCACGCTGACTATGATGTCTTGGAGGCGGACTGGCGCCCGGATGGAGAGCGGAGGATTGGAATTCGGAGGCGGAATCCGACACCATCCATCAGAGCCAGGGTGCCGGTGGCTAAGTGGAGGATGCTGGGGGATGTCCCTGGACGTCTGAGAAGACCGCTCACTCGGAATGAGATCATTGAGGTCTACAAGAAAGCCCCTGGCCGAGCACAGGTGTTGGATGATCTGAGTGACTACATGGAGGCTAACCTGCCCGGTGAGATGTTGTTGAGGCTGAGTGGTGAACAGGACTATTGGCTTCACGCGCCCTCACAACGTGAACTGTGGAGGGTACACCTTCAGCCTCGGCACTACATGTTTGTCCCAGGTTTTGTCCCTGACGAGGAACACGAGCAGGATGGACAGCCACTACCTCCAGGAGTACCTGGTCTACAAGGACTACGGGCTACGCAAGTGGGGTATCTCACACCACAAGCGTCCAAGGAATACCTGGTGGATAACATCTTCTGGAAGGGCTGGAATGCTTCAGTGCACATGAACCAGATTTGGAGGGGTGTGACCAGGTTCGTGACTATGGACCCGGTGAAGGATCATCCAATCCTGGCGACGTGGCTACAGGGGCGTGCAGCGGTCGAAGACCTTTGCGGCGGCATCTACGGTCGAATGCGGCATACCAAGTGCTGGTGACGGAGGGTCAGGCCGCGAACTTCTTCGACCCGTCGATGGACGCCACTTCACAGGCGGCAACACGTCTGGAAGTGGCTTTACATGTGCTGGAGTGCTTTCAGGCATTCGAGGCCACAGCCTCGTTGGCACCTCCTACGGCTCATCCTCCACACCGAGGGCAATTGGAACTGTGCTCCATGGAGCATTTGCCGCTGGTCCCAGAGCCTGACATGGACAAGCCTGAAACCGGGAAGGTGAGGCTGGAACTCCAGTGGAGTCAACTCTCACCGAGCTGGCAGAAAGCCTTTGAGGAGCCCATCATTGAGGCGCTTGACATCTACTTCAGGCACGATGCTTTAGCTCCTGTGATGCCTGAAGAGACGGTCCATGAGTCGGAAGTGTTGCCGAGCAGGTTCGTGCTAGTCAACAAAGCAGACCCCAAAAACACTCGACCTACAGAGGCGGATTTGGAGCTGGCCAAGCTCAAAGCAAGGCTGGTCATTGCTGGCCATCGTGATCAACGTGCTGGTGACTATGCTACCGATGCTCCCACAGCCAGTCTGGTTGCGCACAACTTCGTGTGCTTTCTAGCCGCCCAACTTCGATGGCGCATGTATTTTGCTGACATCTCGGCCGCCTTCCTTCAAGGGGATTATCTTCCAGAGGGCCGGAGAGTCTTTGTCCAGTCCCCCAAGAACTACCCTTTGTTTGTGCGCCAGTTCTTGATGACCAAGGTTCCGCCTGGGGCACGAACGGATATGTTCAGGATGAAGAAGGCTGGTTTTGGCCTGGCTGAGAGTCCAAGACTTTGGTATCAGCGGTTCAGCAGAGATGTGGCTGGCATTGGAGGCAAAGAGCTGCACTTGGCTCCAGGGGTGTTCGCCTTTTATGATCCTGAAGGGCATCTGTGGGCGATGCTGGCAGTGCATGTGGATGACGTGCGATTCATCAGCAGTGAGGAAGCAGAGGAACAGCTCTGGCCGAAGTTGAAGAACCTGTTCACTTTTGGCGACTGGGTGCACCCTCAAGAGGACACTAAGTTCTGTGGACGATGGGAGAGGCAGAATGCCGATTACTCGATCACTCTTCAGATGAACGAGTACTCCAAGAAGGTCAAAGATCCTCCTCAGCGAGCAAACCCACAGAGTCGCCAACCGTTGATGCCAAATGAACGGGCTTGGATTGGCACTATCATCGGACAGCTGAGCTGGTTGGCAAGGCAACTTCGGGCAGACCTCCTATATGGATGTTCCAGGATTCAGCAATTAGCTGGCACGAATGACCCGGAGGCGCTGCTGGAGCTGAAGATCTTGGTTGATCGAGCACGTGAACCTCATGTACATGTGTTCAAGCACCTTGGATGCCCCGTCGACGACCTAGTGGTTCTAGCGGTTTCGGACGCTTCGTTCGGAGGGATGCCAAAGGGGCGTTCTCAAGGTGGGATGGTGATGCTGGTGGCAAACCCAAAGATCCTGGACGGTGAGGCCAATGTGAATGTCCTGGCTTTTCACTCGGGCCTGTTGAAGAGGGTGGTCAGGTCTTCGTTGGCCGCGGAGGTGTCTCAAGCGGCTACGGCAATGGAAGAAGCAGACTTCCTGAGAGCCTTGATGGCCGAAGCCTTGGAGAAGGGATTCTCCTTCAAGCATTGGCTCTCGTCGGTTTCGAAGTGGAGGCTGGTGGCCGTGATGGACTCCAAGACCGGGTATGACCTGTTGAATGGAACTTCACTCGGAGAAGACAAGAGGTTGGCGATTGATGTCGCATCAATGCGGCAGGCGCTGCAAGAGGACGGTGGTTCTCGCTTGGTGCGATGGGTCCCCGGAGAGGAGATCCTTGCCGACGACTTGACAAAGCTCGTCGGGAACAACAAGCTGGTGAAGGTCATGGAGAATGGCACCTGGGCCTTGAAGGACACCGACGAGGCCAAGAGGCTGAGAGCTGATGCGGCAGTGCGAAAGCGCACTTACCGCCGCAAGAAGGCACTGGCACCATAGGGGGCTAGTGTCGGTTTCAGCCGGTCACGGCCCAAGGCGGCACTCGGAAAAAGGTGGGCCGTCGTGCTTTTTCAGTATAATTAGAAATCTTGGTTCCACGGATCCTGACAGAGACATGATGAGCTACATTTTGGTCGTCACAAGATGTACGGAGACACGAAAGCTTCTGAGCTGGAGATGAGTCACAGAGATTCATAGGTCCCAAGAGGCACATGACGTTGGCCAGAGCAGGGCTTGAGATATGCAAACCATTTGTTCAGCAAAGGTAATTTTTGATTTGCGCTGCCGCGAGGCGTGGAAATCGTGAAGGTCCAAAGAACGATAGACGCTATAACCCCCCCTTCTGCCCAGGGCGTGAGGCCATATCCGTGGTAGGGGTCGAGTTGGGCGGCCTCTCATGAAGTTCTGAGAACCAAGGTTTGGCCAGTTGAAGTCTTGGAGACTTCAATCCAGCTCTGCATTCGCCACTGCAGCGTTTGCCGTCGCCAGCGCATCCATGACCCCCGGGCAAATACGTGTCGTGTCGTGGCTGTTCAATCAAGTGTGCTTTTCGATTAATCAGTTGCTGAGTTGCATCCTGGCAAAAATCCGGGTGTGGTTTCCATCCGGCGACCAACACGTCAACAAACATGACCACTGGATGTGGTTCCTGAGGACTGGGGCGAGACAAGACCTAGTCATCCTTGGCACCATGCCCAGGGCGGGGGCTGCGGGGACATCGGACACGGAGAACGACGTCCGACTGCGCGGAGAACGACACACCAAGAAAAATCACCAGGATTAGAGGGACTAGGGACACTCATATCATATGTATTGAACCAGGACATGGGGGCATGAAACCATGAAAAACATCACTCAGACATGGAATTGTTGCATTAGCAGGACTCGCAGGACCAAGTGATAGCCTGACTGTGGGTTCAGGTGGGTTCATGGAACTGGGTCTTGGTGCGGCCACTTGGGTTGCTCCTAGCTACCCCTCAAACTGCAATTGGATTTTGACGTGATTTTCTTCTGACCTTTTTTGAACCCGAGACTCTTTTGACAGTCCGACGTTGAGTAAAGTGTTTTAAGCAAACCAGCGGCGAGTAACAAATGCTTCCCTGAAACGCTCTCCAAGCAGCGAATACCATTCTGTGACGTTTTCGTTGAAAACCCTTCAATTGAACAGGGCAGGGCCAGCGTTTTCGCGCGTTTTTGTCACCCAGACAAAGGTGGTTTTTGCAAACAGACACGATTACTAGCAAGTGTTTGGGGTCTCATCGGTGTTGGAGTGGGCAGAATCTTAGGATTCCATGCGCTGCTTTGGGTTCAGTGGTAGGGTGACAGATTGCGTGGAATCGCATCGCACAAAGCCGGAGATTTTGTTGAATGGGTTTATGCACACCCACCACCCACTGGATGAGTGGGTTGTGACATCTACCTACTGTTGATGATGACATCAGCTCTTTATTGTACCTTGCGTATCCTTGCGTGGCCTTGAAAACCACAAGTGAGAAATTCATCCCTCAGAATCCTAAAGGAGGAATCCCAAAACCACGTCGGGTTGGTCTTCGGAAAATGGTCCAAACATGTCCAAACCACCGGTGAATTCTCAGGTTCCATGGGATCCTTTGTGACTCAACACCACCCCTTTGTGACTCCTGGAGCTGTTTTTCTTGCGCCGGGGTTCCCGTGGCTTGGTCCAGGCAGAACGCTTGTCACTCTTGGCGCTGCTCATCGCACAGCATTTGGACCAAAAGCTCCTGTGGCCACAGGAGCGTGTGCTGCTGCTGGGTCCCTTTGCCAGAGAGAGGCCCGGAAGATGGAAGAGCGCGGTTATGGTTGGTGTCCCTACTGAAGGACAAGGAAGGTTAGAAGTATTGAAATTCAACCTGTTCGGTCCATGTAAAATCTGGTCTGCAAACTCCTGTGCGACAAAGATGATGTGCTTCTTTGGTGGATTGTGGCTAGCAAAAGTCACTAAATCCTACAGCAGGCGGTCACATGTGGCGTGTAACAGGGAGACCCCCAAAGACCCCTGAGACAGAATACATTGAATACATTGTATATATATATATATATATATGGGGTTATATATAACATCTTAAAGCCCATATAATATATCCGGGGGCTTGTCCCATAAAGCATGTTAAAACCAGTCCATAAAATGGGTGAAAACCAGCCCGGCCGGGCTTGGACCCTTCCGGCCGCGTTTTCGGTCCCGCCGCCGGTCCAGGCTGCGAAGCCTGTACCGATCGGCGGAGGGCGATGAATTGGCCCGGCAGCATCTCAGCCGTGTGCGGCATCGGTGCCTCGGTGCGAGATCTGCGGCATGGATGGGGATGGTTCGACTTATAGACCACCCAATAGAAGTAGAAGACCACCTAATAGCTGGCGTGGTTCTGTGGTTGCCAGTTTAATGGAGTATTTGGTGACTGTTGATGGAAGACATCCACAGAAACATCTCATCTCACGAAAAAACATATACAAAAACATTGGAACAACATATCTCATGGACTGGAGCCTGTGGGTCAGCCGCAAGAGACCATTGGAATGGGTGATGCTTGGGTGCAGCTTTGTCCCAAGTTGATCAACTGGCTGCTGTTTAGCTTCCCTCCTCCACAAGTCGCCGTTCTTTAAGCCACCCTCTTTGCACTTCATGGGGTGCATCAGTTTTGTCACTTTGACTCGCTTTCACATTCAACACAGTGCCGCAAGACCAGTTTCTATGACCAAAGCGCCTTTCAAAGGAGATCCTTCAACATGCCAAGGGTTTTTCTTCGTTGGCGTCCTCGTTCTTTTTCCCTCACAACAGCCCGAAGCCTCACAACAACACCCAAACACTCCATGTATGCCATATTTGCCTACAGTGGGGTGGTTTTGGGGGGTCAATGGGGCGGCATATATGGCAGTCCCATGGAGTGTCTGGGACATGGGGATTGCAGAATGACTTTGTGCCTCGCCATCCGCGTCCTGCCTCTAGAGCATCCACCGAGTTAGTCCATGCCCCCTCTCAGATGGACCACTTTTTCGTATGAAACAACTCGGTTGCGCCAACTTCTGAAATGGGTCTGATCCTTTCTCTCAGCTACAGCTACAGCTAGGCATGTTGCAAGCATCGGCCTGCAGTCTGTAGAATCTGTAGATTTGTTTTAGTGGAACAAGGTCATCAGGGAATTAGTTACATGAATTTTCCAAGACCTTCGGCCATATTGACTCGACCTCTCTTGAGTCCTTTCCTATAGGACTTCTGATTCTCAGGGCCGTTGAATGTCGCTGAATCTCAGCTTTCGCTCACGGCCGCGAGCTCCACACTGCTCCGTGGTTCGGCCAGTCTCCCCGAGCCCGCCCCAGCCAACATACCCTAGGGCTCCTGGCCCACCTCCGTTTCGAAGATGGGACAGGGGTGGGTGCCAGGGGGGTCGAATACCACCGAACCTGAGGAGATGGGCCAGGAGCCCTAGGGATATATCAGCTTCAATGCATGGCGGTCGGCTCACCAAGGACGATCGCTGGCTCTTGCCGATATGTCCTGCAAAAGTTTGCGCCACTTTGATGGCACCTGGTGGCACCGGTGGACTAAGCGAGACGATGGTGCGTGTGTGGTTCCTCCATGTCGACGTATCACGGATGTGATCACCATCCACATGTCGTGTAGCACCTGCTCACCTACTTACATTGGCGAACAAAGTGAACACCGCCGTATACATGGCGGCATCCCGCGCTGTCCACCCGCGCTGTCAACTCCACCTGTTTGTAGAGGAACATGGTCTTTCCGGCCAGCCGCGATTCCACGTCGATGAGACACGTCGGAGAACTCGAGGCAACGCTCGTTGGATCGACTAGGCACCGCTGCCCCTACTGTTGGAGTGGAAGCTTTTAGCCAGCAAACTCCATGCCAAGAATCCTTCATTGTTGTTGTCCTTGTTCTTGTTCTTGTTATTTTTGTTGTTGGTGGTGGTGGTTGTGGTGGTGGTGGTTTTGTTGTTGTCGTTGGTGCGCACAGATATTGGACAGGTGAATCAGTAATCAGGCCTTCAACTGAAGGCCGACTTCAACTCGTGAATGAACCACTCTTGTTTTGTGCACTCTATACGCTCCTGTAAGCCAATCCCTTCATGAAATGGCTGGGGTAACTTGTGATGTGCATCATGGCAGCCCATAGCCATGCAGGTAACACTCCTAACATCATGCCACAAGGAGGCACCCAGGATACCAGCTTTACCTCCAGGTCTTCGGTTTTCACCATCGTGGGTCTATGACATCGATCTCGTACTGTTTTTCAATTAACGTTTTCAACAAGGGACATGTGTCACACGGACCGCTGCATGGAGAAGACTTCAGCTGCTGAGACTTCGCAACGGACCCTGAACTGTTGTGGTACGGTCCTACAGTCCATATTGAACACCACCGATGGCCAGTATTACCAGCAGAGGTTTGGCAGAGGTTGAAGAACCCTATAGACTATCCTATAGGTACCCCTGTAGGTTCCTAGTTCAGGTCACTTAACCTCTGTAGGTAATTGGGTGAGAGCCCTTGCATCTCCATGGGTGTCATGTTTCGACCCTCGCTGAGGCACATGGGGGACACGCTGACGCGCTCCATCTCACTGGTGGTGCTGGAGGTTTGTCGCTTGGAGTCGGAAGACCTCTCCAGACGACTCGTTTGGGACGGACTACGGTAGGACGCACGTTCGAAGGTCGAAGCAAAGACATGTGATCCAATTGGATCGAATTCAGCATCACATGCCCACACATGCCCACATGCTCCTAGGGGAGCCCCACATGTTTCACAGAAAACGGGGGGCATCCCAAGAAAAACATAAACCTCCGATGGCTTGGCAATGCCATCGGCGGCCTTGGCGCTCGGCTTGGCCCATCGACCATCGGACGCACCCGCCGGAGGGCGCAACCGTGACCGACCACCGCGTGGACGTGGACGTGGACGTGGACACGGGGGCAGCGCGTTTTCTGGTGGAAGGCCATGGTGCTTTTGGACCTAAGAAGTTCTGATTGTTTGAGGGATATATTGATATATATATATATGTATCGGTTCTTGAAGTGCTATTCTGAGGCCATCCGCTCCTGGAGTTCAAAGGGAGTTGAATGATGTCCTACGGGCCTTGCCTGAGAGAGACTTGGTGGCAACAGCAAGGCCAAATGGCGCATGCTTCTATGTTTTTTCCTGCAAGAACATGCAAGAGCCATCAGTAAAGCCATCAGTTCCAGTTGGAAACATTTGCTACTATGTTGAGACACGCCGCAGGTTGGGGGAGATGCTTTTATTGGGCGGTGATCTGCAAACCAACCCTTGAGGCACCGGGTTGCAGTGTCGATCCTCATATCAGACCCATCAAGTTAAACAAACACGCACACACATTAAGACTAGGCACATATGTGCAAGCACTACATATAATTACCCATCGGTAAATGCAACACCCGTTTGTTTATAACCTGCTTATATCAAGAAATCATACAGCAAACTCAACGTTTACGACCTATGTTTCCAGCATTTGGTTTGCGGCCTCCGTCCGAGGGCGCTGGGGCCCGACGCTTCTGTGGCACCGCGACCCACACGACTTCGGACCCACAGAGCAACCGCCGATGGTGCAGGCGTTGCTTCAGGCGCCGGCACGGTTGCCGCGTGGAGGACAAGCAGCGGGCGGGCGTAAGAAGAGGGGTGGTGGAGTGGTGGAGTGAATGAGTCAGGGAAAGAAGTGGCTGACCTGAAGGGAAAAAAGTGTCGATCAGATGATAGGAGAGATTAAGTAGTTATATAATATACTAAATAAATATATATATATAATATATATATATTAATTATGTATATTATGTTTCTAATTGAAATTATATAGTTGTTTGATAGTATTATTGAAATCTAATATAAACCGCCATTTGGGAATTGAGAAGAGCCTTGAGCGGTTCTTATTGTACAAAAACCTCATCATTGGACTGACCGCGTATCCAGTGCCCCAGCGATTCACAACAGAGATTCTTGAAGCCAAATAGGATTCTTTATAGGTTCAACTGTGTATGAGATGTGCAGGGTGGGATGAAGGTTTGGCCGTTTTTAGTTGTACCGGCAAACCGTCAGTGCCAAAAGGGTAGCAGCTATCAGTAGGGGTGCATGCTCATTCGCCGATTTGGGGTCTAAAAGCCACTCCTCCAGAACTGGTGTGCATTGCTCACTGTTTCATGATGAACCAACCTGGCCGCCCAAGGCGCACGGCGAGCGCTTTGCATGGAGTACCTTGGCTACGACTAGACCCACCAGTGGGGTGAAAGCACTTGAGTCGCTGTAGCTAGTACACCCTGGAAGACGATCCACATGGACCCTGAAAACCACGTCGGTTGGTATGGTAGAGGAAAACACCCTTCCAGGGGGCCAGGACGTCAGGGTCTACGTTAGTCTTCGAAAGTGTAGTTCTTAGGGACTCATAGACCGCCCTATATGACCCTGGGACTCCAGCTACCTCCCGAGAACGGAAGCTGGAGAAGGTGTTGGGTAGGTTTGGAGGGTCTACGCTTTCAGGATGTAGTTGGAGCTTGAGTTTAAACCATCGCATTGGTTTGCAACCCCGTGCAGGCGAGGGAGTGTTGAGGGCCCTTTGATGAGATCCGAGGCGGAGCAACGCATGATCTTGGTACCTGACAGCCTCTCTGTTGCGGCCCAATTGGTAGCACAGCACCTTGCGCAGAGGCCACGTGGTTGTGAGATCAAGCTGGCTACATGGATCAAAATCATTTGTTGTAAGATGTTGTAAGATACTGGGTGTGTTTCCAACTTTGTAGGCATGGCATTCATCGCAACTGTGCAGCACTTCCTTCAAACAGATCAGCCAAACTGCAGGACCCATTATATATCATTATATACCAGCTTCTTCAAAGTGACCTTTTGAAGGTTCCTACGTGACCCTTAGGGAGGCTTAAGTGACCTCAAACCAGGTTATCAAAAGGTCACTTTGAAGAACCAGGTACTTGTTGTTTCTTGTAGTTTGTATGTAACTGCTTAGGGGAAAGTTAGCAGTTAGCAGCAGCACTTACTACTGGCGCTGTCTTCGGTTTCTAGCCTTTTCCCAGCAGCCAATCCATACCACTCGCCTCCAGGAACAGTGTCACGGTCTTCGCTGACACCAAGCTCTTCATCCTGGGCGAGCTGAAAAAGCTCGTGCAAAACTTGGAGGAGGACTTGGCGGCCGGCAGGCGGGAGACACCAGCCCAATAAGTATAACCCAGACACTTCATGTCTGTCATATATGCCTACATTGACCCCTCAAACCACGCCAATGTATGTAAATATACCATACATGGAGTGTCTGGGTAATAGCAATATAAGTATAGAACCTGCGGGCCTGTGGCATCAACACACGGAGACCGTAGATTAGATGTGACACGGGCCGCCAGGCCAAAGGGTCAGTGTCCATACCTTTGAACATGGAACAAGAGTTACGTTCAATGAGTCAGTGTCCAGCCTCCTTTTTCATTTCTCCATTCTTCTCCGGTTGTTGGAGCACTTGCACAATATACTATATAGCATTTATTGTGTTTTTTCCGTCGTTTTTTCTGGGATACCTATCAAAAAGAACATTAATTCCTATCAAAAAGAAAATTGATTCCTATCAAAAAAACATTAATTCGTATCAAACATAAAGTTTTCCCTACTCCTTTGGTCCTGGTCTGCTGGTTCCCTGGTCCCTTGGTCCCCTGGTCCCTTGGTCCCTCTGGTCCCTTGGTCCTCTGGTCCCTTGGTCCTCTGGTTCCTTGGTCCTCTGGTCCCTTGGTCCTCTGGTCCTTCGTCCTGGTCTTCGGGTCCTTGGGTCTGTACTTTCGAGGCAAGATGCGTTAAAGGTGATTAAATCTGGTCATACATCCTGTGAAGCACCGTAGCAGACCTTTTATCGCCAGACGTAGCACACCTTTTTTGTGAGCCACCCTGACGGTAAAATTTAGACCAAGAAAGTGCCATTCCAAGTAGCAAACCTTTTGTGAGCCACCTGAGGGCAAAATTTTGAAGAGGAAGGAGCCATTCCAACGAGGTTAAAACTTAGAGGAAGAAGTTGCCATTCCAACGTAGCAGGCCTTCGTTTTGTGAGCAACCCGAGGGTAGAACTTGCTATTCCAATGCAGCAGACCTTTTGTGAGCCACCCGGGGTTAAACTTTAGGTGCCACGCCAAGGTAGCAGACCTCTTGTGAGCAAAATTTAGAGGAGCAGTAGACTTTGTGTGAGCCATGCGAGGGCAAAATTTACAGGAGCAGACCTGTTGTCAGCATAAACTTTAGAGGAGGAAGGTGCCATTCCAACATAGCAGACTTTTTGTGAGCCATCCACAGGTCTTGTGGTTTTGTGAGCCATCGTGAAATTCAGACAGATCACGGTTGAGATGCAGAGAGAGGTCTACATCTACAAAGATCCAGAGGCCTGGAGATCCAGACGGATCTGCAGGTGTAGAAGTCTAGAAACCCACAGACCTAAAGATGGAGGTTTAGAGGTCTTGAGTCTTGAGATCCAGGGAGGTGTTGAAATCTAAGTTCTATACTTGCAGAGGGTGTAGAAAGATGTTCAGATCCAGAGATATCAAGAGCTCTTTTCACAGGTCTTCAGATCCACAGAACTTTACAAACGCCACGCAAGCTGCACTACAAGGTTCAAAATCGCTGCGCTTGCCACGAAGTCTGCGCTTGCAGACGGAGGTTCACGCAATCTGCACTTTGAGGTTCACGAAGTGCTGCGCCTGCCATGAAATCTGCAGTTCCAGTGCACAAAGTGCTTCGCCTGCCACGAGCCCTGCAACTGAAGGTGCTCAAAGTGATGCGTACAAAGTGCCGCTCCTGCCATGAAACCTGCTACATGGAGGCGCTCAAAGTGCTGTGCCTGCCACGAAATCTGCACTTCCAATGCGCAAAGTGCCGCTCCTGCCATGACACCTGCTACTGGAGGTGCTCAAAGTGCTGCGCTTGCCACGAAATCTGCAGTTCCAGTGCACAAAGTGCCGCTCCTGCCACGAAATCTGCTACTAGAGGTGCTCAAAGTGCTGCGCCCGCCACGAAATCTGCAGTTCCAGTGCACAAAGTGTGCTGCTCCTGCCACGAAATCTGCCACTGGAGATGCTCAACGTGCTGCGCGCGCCACGAAATCTGCACGTCCAGATTCACATCGCGCAGCGCTGCCAAGGCGGTTTGCAGTGGCAGGCGCAGCTCTTTGTGAGAGATATTTTTTTTGATACAAATTAATTTTTCTCTTTGATGGGATATAGAAATTTTCTTTTTGATATATATTAATCTTCTTTTTGATAGCCCGGCTGTTTTGTTTTCTCACTTATCTCCTCTGGTACCAGCTGGCTGCCCTATTCCCTTAAGATTGGGTATACGCTGGGGTCGGAACTCTTGTGACCTTTTGTGCAAGGTGGCTGCATTTCTTTCCTCTAAGTGGAGGGCAATGCAGAAGTGGTGATGTGTAAGGCGTGTAGTGGTCCCCAAATAGATAGAAACGGTTTCCACTACATTTTAAGTGGGGGTCTACTTTTCTATGCTGGCATGTGGTGCAAGATGAGTAAGGCGTGAATGCAGCTTCATGCTCCGGAATCCTTACCTTACTACTTCCCTTGCACCCCCACCCCTTCCAACTCATCCCATAACGTTCCTCCTCCTCCCTTTCCTTTGGCCAATGCACATTGGGTTTCTTGTGCTTCCTGTCTTGGCTAGCGTCTACGGCAAAGCTTTGCATGGCGCCTTGGCTCGAACGGTGCCGGGGTTAGAAGGGTGCTGGGGCTCGAACGGTGCAGGCTCTTGTTGTTCAACAACGAGGATTGGAACTCTTCGAGCGCCCTGGCGGAGACCTTCGTCCGTCGCCGCACCGACGGATGGGTCCCCGGCGTTGGCTCGTGGCGAGCGAGCTCGCTCCGCGCGAACGTCCTTTCACGTGAGTAGAGGTGCCTGGCCTCCATGTATTCCCACCCCAGACACTCCATGCCTGTCATATATACCTACATTGACCCCTCAAACCATCCCAATGTATGTAAATATACCATACATGGAGTGTTTGGGCACAGCATTCTGGACCCATTTGGACCCATTTTGGTTGTGCGTGGATGGGCTGTGGATAGCGAAGAAGCCGCCTCAAGAGACCAGGATTAGCTTGGCGTTTCCTTTCATGTGCTTGGCTACTTTGGCGTCCCCAACGCCCGGAAACAGACCCACGGAAGACCAAAACCTATATATATATAATATATGTGTCAGCACAAGTTTGTCGTCATGCCTCGTAAATGCGTTGATATTTCACGTATCTATATATAAGTCCTTTTCGTTTTATTTGAGGGAGGTTTCGTTTTATTTGAGGGGCGGTTTGGGAGGATCACTTTAGCCGCTCCGACCATGAAGCCTCTGGACCAAGATGGCCCTGAGAAGGGGCTTCCTTAGATCCTTAAAGGATGATGCACCCGAATCTTGCCATGTGGATGCTTCTGCATCATCATCGATGCCTTCCTCGATTCCGGCTGACACTCGCAGGTCCTTTTTAGCATCTTTGAAAGATGATGCTGATACAGGAGGTCAGCAGGACCACTCTGTTGTGGATTTCAATGTGAAGAACCTAAAGGACTTCCAGTGCAAGAACCGAAGCATGACCAGTTTCAAGAAGATGCCTTCTCCTCCTCTCAAACGCCCGAACTATGACAGTTCGAAGAGGAAATTCTTTGCAAACCCACTGGAAAGGTTGAAGTTCCCTGGTTCCAGTTTTAGCCCTGCTAAGCTTTGTTTTTTGTTCAACTTCAAAGAGGCCTCATCCCACACATATGCCTCCCAGGGCTCTCACGCCTTTTCTGTAGGCAAAGCGACAATGGTCAGTGTCACCATAGAGTTGGACAGCTCTATACAAGAGATCGCTGCCAATGTCATCGGGAACATTGTTTTCACCGCATGAAAGATTTGCATGAACAGTTTGCGGAGTTTCTGTCATGCTTTTGGTCTTTGGAAAAGCCAGCCCAAGATTCCTATGTCCTGTCCTTAAAACCTACTTTGTGCAAATGAAACAAACCAGGGGTCAGTGAGTGTTTGCTTTGGGCAACCTGGGACTAAGATCTATGATGTGGTGCGTGCCAGCAAGACCACACATCGATCTTGGTCTCTTTTGGGACTTGTCATGTCTGTGAAATGCATTGCTGCCTTGGTGGGCATTCGGAGTGATCGCATCAAGACTGCTGGCTCTGGAGCACTGGATCACAGATATGCTTGTTTGGGTGCAGTGACTCACTAAAATGGTAGTGTCATATTGTCAGCAATATTGCTCAACATGTGAACTGTGTGAAAACTCAACATTCCAAAGGCAGTGAAGCGGACTCCTCTGAAGAACATGAGCATGGATCGCTTCTTCTTGAACCTTTACATAGAGCAGGGTAGTATGCTTCCCACGAAGCTGCTTGATTGGCTTGCTGTAATGTGTCAGTTGTCAAATGAGTGGCTGACATTGACATGTCTAATTTCGAGATGTGACAGCCCCTGCTTAGGCGGTTTTGGAGCTTATGGACTTATACCTGCAGGATATATCTAACTTAGGGCTCTTTACACATCGCTATTTTCAATCTAACTTAGAAAACTTATAAGTTCCCCACGTTGCCCTGTTTTTGAAAACCCCGTTTCCTGATCCAAAATTAAGCTGCGCAATTTTCACACCACCGTCACCGTTCCCGTCACCCAACCGAAAATTTTCACACCTAACTATTTCTGGTTTAAAAAAACAACCGGAAAATTCTGCGCATGAGGCTCGCCCATGCTGCCCGTATATTTTGGGAGCGCCCAGCGCCCTGAAAGAAAAACAATGATTCACAATTTCAAATCCTCCAGTGTGGCAGCTCAGATCTTTTTCCGCGCACGTCCCCCGAAGTGTGCGGCCCCAACTTTGGAACCTTGAGCTGCGCAGGGCGAGCCTCTGCATTCCTATGCTTTCAGAAACTCTTTGACTCGATCCCAAGCTTTGCTGGGGTCAGAAGTCTTCCAAGAAAAAGCTTTGTCCTTCTTGTCGCCATCCTTCTTGACGCGGAAGTTGGACGACTTAGGGCAAATGTAGATGGTCCACCCCCCATGGTGGATTGGAGCTTGAGGGTCGGTGCCTGGAAACCCCAACGCTTCCTTCCCCTTCGTTTTGGGTCCCTTCTCGGCATTGTTTCCCTTTTTCTTTTTGTCGGCCTTTGCCTTTCCTTTTGCTTTAGGTTTCTCGGTCTTAGGAGCTTTGTTGGGTTCTTCTTCAGCATGCTCTGAAGGTCGTTTTGCAGCATTGCTTTTGTTGTGGGTAAGCTGTTGGGTGAGGAGCTCAGCCATTTCATCCACATCCTTGACCTCGGCCACTGGCTTTTGCTCAGTTGGTGGAGCTGGCAGGGCCAAGGGCGTTCTTGCTGGGGATGGCTCTGGAGTAGGGCTACCCTTTGCTGCAGGCTCTTGGCCCGGGTCTTGGCCACCTTCATTGCCAATGGCCAATAGGTTTCTTTTCCTCGGCCCCAGCATGGTCAAGGGTAGTTGACGGGGCTGTCCATTCATCAAGCTGGCAAGTTGTTCCAAAAGATTTTGTGCTCCCAGCATGCCAGTGATGGGATCATCTCGGCGAAAGCTGGCGCGTACTCGTGCTCCTGAAACCTTCACATTGCTCTTTCTAGCTGGCAAGTCCTCGCACAACACCGCAAGCGCGCCGCAATCCATGGGGCACTCAACAGGTGGTTCGCCAGGGGCGTACGCTGCTTTAAAAAGCGCCTCTGGCATGTCTTGGGGATTCGCTGGGTAAACCAGCAGATCACTCCGTTTCATCTTCTTGGTAAAGCTCTTGACTGAGCACTTGAAATCTGCAAGGAGTGAGAAAGTCTTGAAGCCATCAACCAGCAGCTCTTCTGGTGGACCTTGGTGCGAAGCCAGCGACAAAAGCGAGACAGCTAGGACACTGGTGCCCTCTGATGGGCAGGTTAGCTTCAGCAAGCCAAACCTCCTGCAAAGACATTGCACCTTAGTAGAAAGGCTGTGCGAGCTGCTTCGCAAGGTCTTCCAATCGCTCTCAGTCATATAGTTCTGGAGGTGCAAGTGTTTCTGCGTCAGGTTTTTTCCACGCTTGGCCCCGCCGTTCTGTTCTTCAGCGGTGCTTGAAACCTTTTCCTGCACGCCTTTGATGATCTCCTCCTTCATCCAATCAGGAATGCTGGCAGACTGCACATCTTGTAGCATCTGTGTGGCTTCCTGAATTGCGATGCTCGGGGCTTGCTGCAGGTCCAACAAACACCCATGCAACATTTTTTGCTGGGTGTCTTTGACTCCATCATGAGCAGCTGGATTGAAACCAGACTTCTCCAGAGCCGTGAGAAATCCCAACATGTCTTTCAACCGTTGGGCCGCCATGGCGAATCTTGTCGGACAAGCCAAGGGATTCACCTCTTGGGAATGGAAGCCAGGCGAGCCTTGAGACTTCCCACATATAGTTGAGCCACAATGAGACAGCGTCGCAAAGAAATATCGTTTGTTGAGACGGTATCCCAAAATCGCTTTCCAAAAAATCGTTTAGAATCAGTGAAGCTATGGCCAACCAGAAAACACACGGTGCTATCAGGGTGATGGCTAAGAAATTCACCTTTTTTCCTCTCGGACGTCGGAAGTCCAGCGTCGGACCGAATCAAAACTGGTGCGGCGAGCCTACACCAAGTGCATGGTCCATCATGGTCCTCCATTCGAATCAGGAGCTAGAGGACGACAAAAACCGGTACTTGTAGTGGCCGGTGGACTTTCGTTGCACCTTCTTGATGGTCTTTTTCACCTTACCTCCCCTCGCTCCCTTCTGCTTTGCTTGCGCCTTCGCTTTGGCTTTGCGCTTGGCCAGCGGTTTGGCTTTCGGTCGAAAAGCCTTAGCGCCACCCTTTTTCTTCTGCTGTTTTGCTCTTCCCTTGGCGGCTTTGGCAGCTGCTGCGGAACAAGTGGCCATGAACTTGTCAAAGTTCGTGCAAGCTTTGGTGGCTGACTCATCCAAGAGACTGCCTTTCACCTTGAGCTGGCCTGTGATGTGAGGCTGCAGTTCCTGGAGGATCGGGTAGGGTAGGCGTTTCCACTGGCCTTTACCCTCAGTGCCTCGGAGCTTTCAACCAAGGTGGATCCTGCGAATCCTTGAAGGTTCATCCTTTCACCAGGTTGGAGAAACCTGAAAAACTCCCTCTGGCCGTCACGCTTCTTGAAATCCAGGCTCGTCACAAACAAATAGGTGTTGTTCGTGGTCAGAGTTGGCGCCATGTTGACACTGTAGCTGCGCTTGTAGGCTTTTCCATCGGCCCTGTCCAGCGGGAAGACGATCAAATCAGATTTGCCGTATTCACCGTCAGCGACGGCTTGCTGGAGCTTTTTTTCAGCGTCCATCAGGTTCTGCCTCATGACCTTGGTCAAAGAAGACCTGTCCACAGCTGGAAGACCAGGGCACAGAAACTCTCGCAAACCTTTCTCGCCAAAACCAGTGTCTGAGCCAACATGTAGTCTTTGGCGTGCAAAATCACAGTGTCCCAACTGAATTCATCGGCTTCTTTGTTGAGAGCCTCCAGCAGCTGATCCATGAAAGATACCTCCAGTCCTTTAATCTTCTGGCAAATGCCCTTCACATTCTCGATGACTGCGGCGAAGAGATCTCCAGATTTGATCAAAGAAATCATCAAGCGTACAACCGTCAAGAATACTTCAGCTCGAATGTCACTTTGACCATGGTGTTTCCCCTGCCCTGCCCATGGTGGGCAGGGGGGACCCGATACCAGAAGGTCAACGGGTCTCTCCACATTTTCCATCTTCAGCTTGTTGATATCTCCGTTGTCCTTT